TATTTCATAATCTCCCGTTATCTATTTTACGTAAAACGTTCGTTTATTGAACTTTCACGGCGCTATGCTATCTTTAGGCCGTGATTTATTGCAAGCAGGCGTGGGAGGTACATATAAATACGCCGGCCTCTACCGCTCTCAATGTGACGCTGCGATAGTTTACGAGTATAAAACAACCGGTAATGTCCGAACACATGTCTGCTGGCTATATAGCCACTCTATCAAACAGTACTTCGAGACACGTTTGTACGTCAGTAATACCAGCCATGAACATCTGACATCTTAATTATACTGCGCAGGTATCAATGCCACAGCAGTAAATATTACAGGCATGTACGCATGGGCGCATTCACGCATGCATACATGCAGGCAGGCAGGCACGTACGCATGCATGCATGCACGTACGCACGCACGCACGCACGCACGCACGCACGCATGCGCGCAACCACACACGCAGGCACGCATGCATTCACGTAAATACGTTTGTTCGAATGTAGTGCTTACATACACACGCACGCACGCACGCACGCACGCACGCACGCACGCACGCACGCACTCGCCCAGGCAGGCACGCACACACGCACACACACACGCACTTTCGCAAGCATGCACGCATACACACGCGTACGCGTGCACACACGAACGCTCACACGCACTTCAATCGTGCGTGTTTGTACGTGAGATGCTGAGTGCCTACGCTAACCAAGTAGTGGAACTATCAAGCATGCAATAGCAGACACGTACTTCGTAGTCAAATTATTTATTTATTCTCAAAATATCCATAGATTTCTTCGGAGACGTTGTAGATTTTAGTGATTGTCAAAACAGTGATAGCGATACATGGCTCATCGGGCAGTACAACTCAATTAGTGTATCATTAATACGACCGTCATCTCAGCTTATTCTTCGTTAATTATTTACGCGCTCAAAGAACAAGACTGCACGTGAAAAACACAAGACAATACGCACGCCGATACATTACCGCCTCGATCGTCGACCTGAATTATTAAAACGGCCGTGTTTAATTTCGCTGCGTGTCAGGTGAAACAAAAACACGAACGATTGGCCGTGTAAGTGCATCTTACATAATTTAATAGACGGATTCATGCGCGATCGCCGAGCAGTATGTAATTACCGCCCCAAGCCCGCCTCAGCTATACCTAACTTGTGCGCCTAACCCACGACCAGTCCGCTACGCGCACGCTCGTGAGAGTTTGTGTTGGCACTGATTCATGGTCCCTCGCGACCGGCTCCCTTGACCCCATTAATCATGTGTCGTCGGTAGTAATGGAGACGAGACGGAGAGGAGCATGGAACCTCACGGCGATCGCCCCACATCTGACTGACACACACGTGCAATCAAGGATCGTGTCGATGCACTGTATGCAAAACACTCCGCGGTTCAAAATATAGCGAGAGGCTATAACAATATTTTACGGTCCTTGGCGTCTCACTCATAGTTTACTCGCCCTTAAAATTTATTACACTGCGCCGACCTCTCCGGCATCGGATACGCTTGCCGCGTTCGCCTGCCACTTACGTCGTGATTGTTTGCTTGCTTGCTTGATGAGTCAATAATAAGAATAACCTCCCCGCACTTTCGCATACGATCCTACCATTACGAGGTTGTTCCCGAGTAGAAGAAGTAGAAACCATGCGAAGCTTTGAACATGGGCGTTGTAAAGCTTATACAGAAGGTTGCAGGTCTAAGCCTCACTGTAAATATATAGATATCGAGGTTACAGGAAGGAGTAAGGTCGAAGCGAAGGGACAGTTTCTAGGTCAGGCCATATCGTCCTGGAACCCTTTGTCAGAAACAGAATTTGTCTTTTTTCTCGTAGACTGGACGACCTCTACGCACTGCGTATGATCAGGGCGAATACCTTCCAACTTTACCGTGTCTCTGTCAACGGTCTATGAGAAATGGTTAATGTTAAGATTAATGTTAAGACTAACTGTGTTTCTGACACCAGCCCATGCATTTGTTTCTATGCCTTACTATAGCGCTGAAGGGGTCGTTGTCGTATATGTAGTACCCGAGGTGTCGGCGAGTATGTCGCCTACGCCTTACTCCCTAACCTTAACCCTAACCCTAACCCTAACCATAACCCTAACCCTAACCTTATCAGATAGTTGCCTCGGGTAGATATTTGTACTACCCTATACGACAACGACCCTTCGTGCCTTACTAGCACGTGACTTGTGTGCTTTCATTTATAAGAGGTTTCGTGAGAATGAAAGATCAGGTAGTCAATAATTTCAGTGGCCCTATAATTAAGCTAGGAAGATTACAGGGAACCGACGTCAGTGAAATCGTTAGGATTGTTTTCGTTTCTGGTATATACAACAACAATAAAAATGTATTCGCACAAACTTCCGCAATAATCAGTTGTCAAACAATGTTGAAGACTGAATGGAAATGCCCAGCGAGTTCTCACTCTCGAAAAACCTCTATTATTCAAACTGTAAACCCGTTCCCTTCCTAGAGCTCCTATCCTCTCGTTAAAACTCTTCCTATCGACTTGGCGTAATATCTTTTCAATTATAATAGGGTTTTACAGAGAGAAAGCACGAGGAATATAGGCAGAGGGGAAAAAAAAAGAAGAGGGTAGATAACTATATAGTTATATGAGAGAGGGGGAACGAAATGGGGAAAGGGAAGCTGACGGCCAGCAAACAGTAGTGGGGGACATGGCAGAAGAGGAAGGGATTGAGAGAGAGGGCGAGAGAGAGAGAGAGAGATTTATTTTGTACGTACAGCATTGTATATAGTCTATCCGGTGTTTCATACATATGATTTAAGGAACTTATATCATATATTTGCTCTAATAATTCTCTAGTAGGTCTTTTTGAATTAGCTATATCATATTTTGACAAAATAGTTGCTCGTTGTGTAAGATGAATGTAAATAAATGTTTACTAAGCAATTTTAAAAAGCTTTATAAAAAAAAGCTTTTTAAAAGCCTTTAAAAAGCAATTTTAAGCAACAAAGCTTAATGTTTATTAAGCAATTCGAAATTGATGAATCTCACTGTCTTATGTATACAGTATTGTATTGTATTGTAAAGTAATGTAACGTTACGTAATGTTTTGTAATGTAATCTATCGTATGGTTTTACAATGTGTCGTAATGTCATATCACGTTATGTATTGTAAATATCATATATCATCATGTCTTGTAATGTCATATCATGGCATGTATTGTAACGTAATATATCGTCATGTATTGTAGGTATAGTATTACGTCGGGTATTGTACCGGGTAATGGTTTGTAGCTATGTGTTGTAATCATCTGGTCACGTCATGTATTGTAAATATCATATATTATCATGTCTTGTAATGTCATACGTATATAAAGTTGTCTAATCGTAATGTGTTGTATTCAGGGGCGTAAATCCGTACCGAAGAGTGGGCGGATGATCGGCGATAGCCGGAGGCGAAATTAACCTTGGCTGCCGCAGGCTGGGCCGCGTGCCGTAGGCATGCCAGTGCTAGGGGGTCTAGGGGCATGCCCCCCAGAAAATTTTGAAATATTTAAGCCATTTTCCTGCAATCTGAGGCATACTGTGGGCCATATTCTCATGTCTGATGACACTATCTCAACCCTAGACTCAACCCTACAAGTTAGGATTCAAAACACTTTTCATTCCTTTTCAGAGAGCGTACACAGTTAGGTTACTATAGTAATAATACATGTATTAAAACACAGGTAAGAATTGCAATTTCTCACAATTTCACGTGTTTTTGTATGTTTGCAACCATACTTTTTGGCTATTCTTTTTTTCTCTCTTTTTTTTGAATCTCAGGGGGATATTTGTACAGGTCATCCCCCCCCCCTCCTTCAAGAGCGGGGGGATGCATCCCCTCCGGGATTTACCCCCCTGGTTGTATTGTATTATAATGTCTTGTCATGTCATGTATTGTAATATAATATAACGTCGTGTATTGTACGTAGTATAACGTCGTGTATTGTGATGGATTGTGTGTGCTGTAATCATCAGATCACGTCATGTATTGTAAATATCATTCAACATCGTGTCTTGGAAAGTAATATGTACAGTATGGCTGACTCGATGACCGCAAGGTCCTTTCGCCATACCCGTGCATTATATTAACAACTGTTTAATTTTCCCACTGTCTGATTTATCCTCGTTTAGCACAAATAAAAATCTTGAAATCTTAAATATGTGAAAAGGGTATTCCCTCGTTACAACAAAATTACACCGCCACCTTGACATTTGCTCAGGCTATGGCCCTGCATAATCGCCAATATAATAAATGTTTACACATTTTATCAATATATTAGTGTTACAATGATGGCATGAATATATATATGTAGAATATACATAATTTCGTTCTATTCATCTATTCAGCGAGACAGGTGAATCTAAGCAGCTATACAGAGTAGGCCCTACATATACATATTGAAATCCGCATGAAATGATTATGAACGTTGAAATTATCTCTACATCTTTGCTATACTATAGTGACTTTATTTGGTAAATCGCATGCGTACGCGTGTACGCTTTCCATTTTCTACTAGAATGTATAATTTTGCGCGTTACTTCCCTTGGCTTGGGCACCCCCGTCAATGCATTTCATCAAGAGCAGATAATAACCCATGGGTTAATATCCCCATGGGTTAATAATAACCCCATGGGTTATTATCTGCTCTTGATTTAATATAGACCGCACACAATCGGCGTCTCATAAACGGCTGCACATACGCGGAACCAAGGCGCGGAACTAGTCGCAAAACCCATCACTCAGCCCGCGTTCGCACCTGCCGTTTGCGACAACGATTTGCTTCCGCAGTCATCGCTACAAGAAGTAATGTCGCAAAAACGTTACCTTGAATTAAATTGTTGATCTCACTCCTAATATGATGTAAAATCAAAATAATAATATTTAAAATAACCAGTTCATATATGGTTATTTAACATTTACTATTAGCTTATTGAATACTAAAACTTCTACCGTCGTAAATGGTAGTCTACTAACGCATGCGCAACAAAACTTTGTGTTTTGTTTTGGAGCCAATTTCAATTTATTATAGAAAGGTAAATAATGTCGTTAAGAGGCTCATAACACGACACGATGCTCAATTTATATTACTTTAATATTTACAGATGTCGTTACGCCGAATTCCTGTTTTCATTCGTGAAATAAGTTGTTGTGATTTGATTGTGGGAAGGTCGACTGTGTCGGTGACACTGACTGGCACTGCCACTGAATTTAGGCAGTGGCTACGGGTACGCCAGCCGTATCTTAATGTCTCGAGGCTACGGGTACGCCAGTCCATTCGCTTTCATACTTAACGAGACAAAGATGGCGGCGGTCGCGCCAGATTTCGAAATAACGCCTTGGGAAATAAATTCACGATTTGAGAGTTTAGATGAGCAAGAACCCTAACCCTAACCCTAACCCTAATCCTAACCCTAACCCTAACCCTAACGCAAAAAAGGGGCTTGAACGACCGACGGCTGGCGTACCTCCAGCCACTGCGCTGAATTTATCCTTCTGATTCAGAAAATATTGAATGGCCACTCATACTAGTCATACAGACGGTGAGACCTATAAACCGGACCATACCCATCGTACTTGAAAGCTAATCTAGGTTGCACATAAAGCGGCCCAAGGATAGAGAACATGGGTCCCAATAAAACCTACATATTGAAGGCTCACAATGCGCATCCAAACGCTAATTTCTCCAGTACTAGACTAGCAAATACTTCGTGGCATGCATAATCACACTACCTTATGACAAAATAAACTCTAGTTCCTCCCATTTCACTGCGCGTTGTCTTATAAAAGGTATTTGAAAATACCTCCAATGTTGTTCAAATTCTCCGATGTTGTTGACAGTTTTCCCAATCCCTAAGCAACCGTGCAGCGGTGCTGCGGTACAGCGGTACGGGTGTAGCAAAGATAAAAACATGTGACGTCACGTCACCACTTCGAGGCTATATTGTTTGGCAAACAGTCGGCATTTGCGCCAGAATGCCAGTTTTCTCACCTATTTCTTGTGGGTTTTAAGCAAACGCGCAGTAAAATGGGAGCAACTAGAGTTTTTTTTGTCATAAGGTAGTGTGATTATGCATGACACGAAGTATTTGCTAGTCTAGTACTGGAGAAATTAGCGTTTGGATGCGCATTGTGCGGCTTTAAATTTCGGTCATGGTTGCTTTTTCTACTGCTATCCGCAGTGTTGATCTGTCTATTATTTGATCAACTTTGTCTCTTTCCGTCTTCGATAATATATATATGTAGTCCCTTGGCCTTGGACTTCGAAGACTAATATTTATGAAGTTTATTTCATTAGTCCCACTGTCCATTTTGTTGCTTGCATAACACTTTTTAACACTAACAGTTCTTTAGAAAAATGGAACCCACGGGCACATGGGCCATTTCAATAAAAAATGATAGTAAATTGGCCCGACCAGGCTCTATGTCTGTTTCTTCTTGCTACGTAGTGAGAAGGTAACTTGTGGCTAATAGTAATAGTAAATAAACACGAATTGTGTTTACTACCAATCTATTTCACCTATTATTAATAATAATTACGTGCATATGCCATTCAAATGCTCTTCTGTGACATGCAATTTCACCGCAAGCATACCACTGTGCACAAACTCACAGAAAGATAGAGGAGGTAGGAAGCGTGAGCGGCAAATTCATACAAAGCTCGCTGTAACTATCGAACTGCAAGTACACAAACAACTGCCTCGATATTGGTATCTATGGAAAGCCGAATATTCGCTTGTGCAAATTGTTACCCGTGCCATTTGGTACAACTTAATTCACCCAGAGAATTCTAGTGTAGTAGTCAATTCCCGTAGGAAACTTCCACTCCATCGCATTGTAAAGTGAGCAACTGCTTGAATTAATATCCAAAACTTCCTAACCGCGCTACTCATTTGTTTGGCTGATAATCATAGTCGCATGTTCGATGTCATTCTCGCGCAAGTGATGCTGGCTCGGCTTGAAGCTAGCACTTGAACCCAGAATGCAATGTGTTGCCAGTACTCGTGTATAAAGAAGCAGTTGCTGACATTTACATTGCCGTTGGAAGCTTTCTGTGGGAATATACTAGATATCTCTGAGTAAATTATGTTCTATCAAAGTACAAGGGTGATAATACAAATAAGTGAACATTCAGCTACACACAGATCCTAGTATGAAGGGTGTTGTTTGTATATTTTTGCTATGATGGTGTGAAACGAGGGGAGCATTGTGTGACTTTGTTAGTAAATAGAATTTATGTTTATTTATGTTTCATGTTTATTGTGTGTATTGATGTTATAAGCAATCATTTTATTATGGAAATGGCCCAAGGGCCTGTGATGGAACCAGCTTGACAAATCACTACTATAGCAATGTTTCAGTGGCCCAGATGCAGATAAATGATTTCATTTTGTGTTAATGATAGCGTGCCATGGATCACACCACTCTTGGTATCATTAACCTTTGAACAAATTTGATTCAACTGCCACCAATCAGAGTGCATCCTCCCACAACAAGCACTGATACTAAACTTGTTCCTTTTGTTTTTCCTGCATGAGAATGACCAGAAAATTGTCTATATAAGCAGTAGACACCACAACCTGTCAAGCTGAAAACAGAAAAACAATAACCAGCTGTGTTTAGACACAGTATGGCACAATCCATAAGTCTATTGTTTATTGAGATAACAGGAACATGTTCATTGGTAGAAGACAATAGGTGCTAAATTTTAACCAAGTGCTGCTAGCAGTTAGTTTGATGTCCTGGTTGATCTGATCTTGTATCTACCTGATTGACCTGTTGTGTAACACTTCAAAATATATGCATTGACCTAATACAGATTAAAATGGACTAATGATTATTAGTTTAGATAATTGGATTATCATCATTGTGTAAAATGCGGAATTTGCATCATGGTCATCGATTCAAGAATGAAACTCGTGAATGTGATGAAGTCTTATTAAAAAATGTAACTTCTAAATTTTAGTAAAAGTGCAACTGTAACTATAGTAAGAAGAAATGTAGCAGAAAATCTCTTACCGAAGTTGGTAATGTATCACTAGTTTTGTACTAAATAGGAATAAATAGCAGCAAAACAAACTACTGTGTCAGACACAGTGAGGCACAATTGAGATTCATGTTTTTAAGATTATAACATTTTTATATGATGTTTCTTTCATAGTAATTTCTGCTGGTACTATTAAAGCTAAACGTTTAATTATGTTATGAAACATAAATGAATTTGGTAAGAGTACATTTGAGTATAATGTGAGTAACAGCCTGTTGTATAATAACCACAAGAATATAGCAAATCTTATAAACAAACAGGTTAATTTCATTGTGTGTGTGTGTGTGCGTGCGTGCGTGCGTACATGCGTGCGTGAGTGCATGAAACTGTTAGTGTAACCCTTTAGTTATGGTTTATGGCTAATTTTAACTTGCACTCATAGCAACATTTTTAGAGAGCTCTGTCAACACCAATTTTGTATAGATATAGTGAATGCATCATACATGTGGTGACATTTGCTCAAATATTGAAATAATGAGAAAAGTTCAGAATGTGTTGCTGATTATAATTAAACAGCAAATTATTTTTCTCTGTGGAGATGGATATACTTGCCAGTGTGCATTAATGTAATCTAGAGTCATGTAGTAAGTTATTTAACCATTTGTTATGGTATGGCAAATCATTGATGTAGTTTTGTGTCTTCTGCAAAAGTGTGTTGAAAAATGTATTAATCTGTGTCTCAGAATTTTCCTTATCAGATCTTCCTTTTGGACGTTTAAAGTACCGATACCTAGCTTTATTTCTGGCTATGTGAAAATTCTAAAATGGCTGTAGGGTGTGACAGGTCCTTTCCATTGTTGGGTATGGTCAACCATTTGCTGGACAAGTTAGCCTCAGGCTAGACTAGTATAGATGGTGATGGCTGTTTCAGCATCTACTTTCAGCAATTGAATTTTCATTTTCTTCCATCGTTGACACCATACCACAAACTTAGGAAATACGGCAGCACAATTCAACTGTACAAAGTGATTTCTGACCACGTTGTCATATATATACCAGGTTTAATGTTACGTACTAACATATAAAGGTTTCTAAGCAATTTCTTTGCCTGTAAAGTGCAACCTATATTAATTCGGTATCACAAGTGATTTGAACTTAATTAGTGTGTGATAGCTGTCTACAGACTCTACACTGAAGTATTTTCTAGCTGACGGCTACAAGAACTTGATTATACCTTAAATAAATATCACCATATATATTGAAGTTTGCATATATACTTTAAACCCAGCCTAGAAGGTGAACGGATGCCATACAAAAGGGCACTGCTCATTGTATGGTGCTTGCACGCACACGTGTACATATATATATATATATATATATGTACAATACACTGTCATATTTCTTCATCATTCCATGACTATACTGTGTCACCCCAATTTATCACCACATTAATATTCGTCTCTCTTACCCTCTCCATTGCACGCATAATTTCACTAAAGGTCCTCGTTTTGTCTGCTGCCACATGTGGACGTAGGTGATTGGCAGCTGGTCTAATCGGTGCACCTCGGGCTTCCCGCTCACTAATCACCGTTAACTAGTAGCTATGCGATACACCCCACTGAGATTTTGAATAGTTCCTTTGCAGCCAACACTTATGGTCATCCCATGTTCTCCTCCTCCCCGATGGAGTTCTATTTATTTTCCGACCAGTGATAATTGTACCTTTAAAAGTAGTTCTTTGTTCATTTGCCACACCACCCTGAGCCTTTCCGCCTACTCTCGGCAGGACCCAATATAATTCTGCTGTCCACATTGTCAATCACACCTGTGGTGGTTTTAAGGCAATCATTGCCTGTGGGACAAGTGTGGGACAGTTTCAGGCAGTCATATATTTTGTACAATGAATGTTGGCAGGACTTATGTTACAAGTTAAAGCACGTACCAGGTCTACACAACCGATATTCTGCAATATGACTCCAGAGCTATTGAACTTGTATGGTTGTCAGATGATAAAAGCATATATATAGCTTACCATAGCTGCATTAGCAGATTGGTACGTATCGATAATAGATGCAGAAATATATGGTGCTATGGCAGGTATAGTCTAGAACTAGAATGACGGGTGCCAGTTTGTTTTGTGTAATTCAGTAATGTGCATGACTATGGCAACTGCATCTGCTGTAGTTTAAAGAGTGGTGCTAAGAAACTGCGGTATGTTCGGTGTGGTGCAGATGTCTCTCAAGAGGTGGCAGTGTCTTCTACATTGTTCAAGTATGATGTTCATGATCCTTGGCATGGCATAGCTCGGATGAATACAACAAGACAGTAATATGTTTTCTCATTCCTTAGATGTGAGCTGAGCTATCATGTTATCTAGATGTGTATCCTAAAATATGGCACTGTGCTAAATGTCTGCTAGGAATATACAAAAAGGTGGGCTTCCCTATAGAGTAAGTCTAATGCTTGCTAAGAGAGGGCGCTTTAGGGAGTGTCATTTGGTTTATGTTTATAGATGGTGCCACCTGTTATAGCACAGATGTATGCTAAGAGATTCTTCTATCTGTCATTATCTTTTTGTACTGCAGAGAATCAAATAAAAATGTATCAAATTAAATTTGTCACCTTGCAAGTATGTATGTGAAATGACATTTAAATGTAGCAATTTCGCATTTTCACAATTGGCGAAACTCGTGTTTCTGTATCAGGAATTTGTTTTCTATATTGAATTTTTCCATTGTTTTCAGTATTAACAAGCACGCGTAGTTTGGGCTTCTCTTCTGTGTGCAGAAACTCGCCGGCTGCCGCGTTCCAATAGGTCTGCATGATTTGACCCAAGCGCTGTTGTATGCGGCCACCACCCACTGAGGTCCTGACAAGTTTCTTTTAGGTAATAATTATTTTTATGAGTTCTCCTCCTGCCAGGTGGAGTTTCTTTTCTTTCCTAGTCAGGTTTAATTGAACTTTTTTGCATGGCTTTGTCTGCGTTTTTTGTGTAGTATTTGAGCTACCCCACCCACCCCCTTGGTGGCTGCATTAACGTTGGTGTGGCCTCCATTAGGGCTGTCAATAACAAAAACATAACGCTGCCGGTCACTATTTGTCAATCGTTGCTAAAGGAACTTTCTTGTGGGTAACTGATAAAAAATTTATACATGTACACCATTTAGCAATTTAACTGCACTTATTTTTAACGGAGAAATACAAGAATGGCCATTGTGTCTGGCATAGGGGCTTTTTGGGTCTGGTAGGTTTTGTGACGGATAAAAAGAAGTCGGGCACAAATGTCCATAGAGAGTCGTGTGAATTTCGTGTTTTGAGGCAAAATTTGACGTTTATATGTTTTAACAAAAGCAAGAGCGCTCGCAGCCTCGCAGCCCGGACGGAAGGCCGCGCGAATCGCGACTCGAACGCGGCGAGCGCGGCGCGCCGGTGAGTTGTTCGCCTGATGGCGCCATCACGTGTCGTGGGCGGGGCCACGCCAATGGCGGGGCTGGCCAATCAGAGCGCAGGTACTTCACATTCGGCGCTTGGATCCAAATAAGAGTATTAGGTTGGAGTGCCGTATTGTGGAGGCAAGCGGTTTGTTTTCGAAAAATATGCTGCGCCGAAATCTTAGATGTGTTGTTTGCAAACCTTTTAAATCACAGCTGGTTCGATTACCATCGCTGACGCTGTCGCCGGGGGCGACGCCATGTCACGCGATGCGTCATCGCCCCCTATCTGCGACTTCCACGGCGCTCATTGGATTTAATTTATTTTATATTACTGATTAACTTGTCCTAAACATCTGGGTTATAAACTAAACTTGGGATAAAAATGAGGCCTTTATAGTTTAGCACACAAAAGCGGCCATATTGGCATATACAGAAGTAATAAGATAAATTTAAAAAAAAATCCACCAAGATATATTTTGAAGTGGGAAAAAGCATGAATGTTCAGAAATTTAGAAGCAATATGTGTTGTATGTGAGGTGTGTGTGTGGGGGGGGGAGTGCAGGTCAGTGTGGGGGTGTGGGTGGGGGGTTAAGAGCAGACATGTTATATGTGTACACTATCAGGCATCATTAACATGTGTATGTCCAGTATATAAGCTGGGCTATAGCAGCAATCTCTTTGCTGCTTGAGTTTATGACCATTAATTTATCACTGAACCACGTGTGCCGACATGGCGATGACAGGTATCAAATAGGCTGACAAGTTTGACTGGCAGGTATGTTCATTTTGTCATTTATAATTATATGTATTTAATGGTTTATCATTTTATTTTACATCACCACACTGATTTATATGTATTCAAATATATTTGGTGTCATTCACAAACATTAAAGAGTGTCAACTTTAATTTTACAGGTAAATGTGATGACAGACATGTATAATTTCTCATTCTAGTTTGATAGTTTTTACAGTGCATAGAACGATAAATGTTATGTACTTTTAATTTTACATTTATCCTACATGTCCTCCACGTGTCACTCACGTGTGAATAAGGTTTGTATTTATTTTGTAGTACTGAGCAAGTATTGAGTTGATAATCATCATGTTGATCGGTTCTGATCAGGTTGCAGGTCTGTTCGTACACAAGGAATCATGCTTGGTGTTTCGCTTTCACTGACTGTTGGAATTTTTTTACATGTGATGATTTGATTATAATTGGAATTTTTTAAACAACGAGACTTCATAAACGTGCTCTATATACAATGCTGATTGAGTATCACCAAGTGAATATATTACACAGGGCGTTCAGATGTGAAATGTTCTATTTATGTTTGAAGACAATGGCCGTATTACATAACAATTCTGTAAAATAACCAACCATAATGTTGCATGTCAAAAGTAAACAACACCAGTGTCATCAACGCATTTTGTGCCACACAGTGGTTTGACAGTTTCAATTGCAGATAAGCATTATACATTTGCTAACGTGCGAGCTTGTACATGTAACAAGAATTTAATCTCCTATACCTAATGATCATGCAGTCTACCTATTTTTTACCTGAAATTTCTACCTGATAAAAGTTTATTCAATAATTTTGAAAGGTATGTAAGTGTTGGCACATCGTCTGTAAATCTCAATGTCATGTCTGCATGATAAAGTTTGTGTGGAAAGGGGCGATATAATGGTATAGTGTTATGGATAACTGTTTCTACGTTTTATGAGGGTTGTTGTTATATTATATTTGTTACCTGAGTGTATTATGTTGTTAAAATATTGTTTCTACCTTATTGCACCATCAAATATCACATATAAAATGCAACACGGTACAAGCATGTGATACTGATAGTTGCTACTTTTACATATATTCTAGTTACACTACTCATATAACTACGTGCTAAACGTATATCGTGCTTTTGCTGTTATTTATTTGACAAAATGTATTGGTCATAGCGTTAGTAATCGCGTTGCCATCGCATTTGGCCCAAACGTTTAAGTTTGTCGAGTAATTCAAGTAATAGCTGGCATGACAATTTATACACACATTAAAATTTAGAATAATCTCATGGTCGTATACAAGAGGTTAATAAAGCATGAAAACCAGGAGGTAGATAGCAGTTTCTAAATTTTGTGGCATGTGGGCCAGTGGTCCTATAATACATAGTTAATGGATTTGTGGACCGCACTTTTAGCATTGGAGAGTGTATATAGGGCGCAGAGCTATTCCCGGTTAATGCGGCTTGTCTGTTGTGTACGGCCCACGCCACAGACAACGGCTCGGCACCGGTCTTAAACCTGTCACAACAAAGTTCGCACCTGTAAAAAGTTCTCGCCAAAAATGTGGCCGAAATGCTTTAGAAATCGCCGGGGCAATGCGAGAGTGGAGGCGCGCGCGATAAATGCTGTCTGAAAGGTGCGTTTTGTCGCGGCGGGTTAATTTGCACTCTGGCTACCATCTGCGCCGTTGCATTGACGCGTCGCATACCTGCCACGCAGCGCCGCGGTAGAACGTCGCCAAATTAGCTTCATTTGCCGATGCCGCGGCGTCCAGGTTCGGCTCGGCCGGGTTAGGTGTCCCTAAAATCCTGAAAGACAAGTCTGTTTCCATTCTCTTGCGAACGCCATTCGGTGCGCGGTTTTGTCCTTTGCATAATTCTCTATCACAATGCTGCGAGTGCGTTTAGGTTCGAGGTTCTGTTCCTTCAGCCGCCTGCCTCACTTGGAGTGCTTTCACACGTCGTTCTAACACGTCGGCTCTTACACTTCCCCCATCGAGTCTCCCGGCGCCGCAGCGCATACAAGGACCTCTATTGACGATCACAATAGCTTTTGTTTTCGTTGAAGAATTTCAACGTGTGCTGCGGCTTGTTTTCGCCCGCCCGATCTGTGTATTTCTTTTGCGACGTTTAGAATTTTCGGCGGGTTTTGCTGCAGAATGCATGCCCACGGTAACTCTCGCAGCCTGCGTATATGTCGTCTGCGTGAATTTGTTTTCAAACCTTCGACTATATAATGTATGTGTGTCATGTTATAGCGGCGTGTGCACGATGCGTCGAAAATTGCGGGGGTTTGTGCCGCGACTGTACACCTATAACCCAGTTTATTACTCACGTAGACAAGCCGCGTGCTTTATTTCTCGTGTAGACGTATAACCCCAGGTATTTTCCCCATGTCGGCGCATAACCTGGATTATTCTTTCATATGCAGAACCATAACCCGTAAAACGCATAAACTCGGAACGCATCTTTCTACGTCTATACACGCATAACCCGTGTGATTTTCACTCGTAGACGCAAAACTCTGGTTATATATAT